TTGTAACCATTGATACGAGAAAGGAGTTATATACAGCAGATATTTCTGAACAGCATTACCCAGCCCAGAGATTGAACTCACAATTACCATGTCACCAAATTCACAAACCAATTCTTTAATCCACTAAGGCTATTGTCCCATGTTTCTTCTTTATGAACTTCTCACTTTTCTAACAATTATAAAATATTAATGCATAATGAAAATTAAATAATGCCATTATTAATCAGTTCCTGTAGTTATGAAATAAAACAAATTAAATGGGCTGAATATTTAAAGCACTTGTAATGTCTGTTGCTTGTTGGCTTTTCTTTTGACCTTCATACCAAAATGCTGCCAGGAGCAGTGGCAAGTACAATTAAAGCACATACCAAACCAACAATTAAGAAGTTTGAAGATGCTTATTCTTAATTTGGCACTTACAGCAAAATCATATCCAGTTTCAGGGAAGCACCAAGATTTAGTACATTCTCTGCTGCTTGTGTAATAATAATGATAAACCAACAAATGACATACAAAAGCAGGAAGTTGAAACATACGTGTGCAGTAAATATGAATAATGTAAAATCAAAAGTAAATAAATAAAAAAAAAGTTGTTATCAGTATCATCATATATGAGGGGATGCTGAAAAATTATTGACTCAACCAAGTTAAAAAAAAAAATTCTGATGTTTGGTCATTTTGTGAGATTTTGGGAAGTGGGGTGTGCCAAGAATTTCCCCATCATACATCAATTTGAACAGAAGCTCAGTCTAAAGAGAGTTTTTGTGCATTTAGCCATCAACAGATATAATCACATTCATCATAGCTTCTTTAGGTAATGTGTATCCATGTGTGCTTCAGGGAACCATTTTGTTCTTTGCTTCTTCTTTGTCAGAAGAAATTAAGTAAAACAAGTGATGAATACCAAGAGTGAGTAGATGAGAAACTTAGTGAAAAGAGTTCAGAAAATATTACCTGAATACTCAAAACTCATTTAACTACAAAGACACACACGTTTTTTAACATATAGACATTCCAAACCTAGTTACCTCCCCTGGCATTTACATAGTAAAATTTTAAATTGTACAGTATATACGCTTAGTTAAAATTTAACTTTTAGATGAACAATTTTGGTTTGGTTTGGTTTGTTTTTACAGCATATCAACCTCAATGGTCATTTAATGCCGACAAAATTTATTGTTGGTAATATTTTTTTTTTTTTTTAATCTATTTCTGGTAATATTTTTCCTTCAAAACTTCTATTTCTGGTAATAATTTTTCAATTATGTATCGCTGGTAATATTTTCCTTTTTTTAAAAAAAATGTATAGCTGGTAATATATATTTTTCTTTTTTCTTTTTTTCAAAAATATATAGCTGGTAATTTTGTTTTTCAAAAATACATTTTTTTTTTTTTTTTTTAAATTTTTCTGTAGATCCCAATTTCTCCAGTGAAATTTATGATGTTTCTTGGATTAGTATTTTCGAAGAGATCCTTTAGGTTAGCCGATTTGTAGTGTTTACTACGGATTCATCGGAGATTATGGCAATTTAGTAAGATGTCTTGGCATGGGACACATGTTGGAGGTACCTCATATTTTTAGGAGATGTTGGTGGGTTATGTATGTGTGACCAATACAGAGTCTGGCTAGAACTACCTCTTCTCTCCTTATCTTTCTGGAACTTGCCGGTCTTTCACCGATGATAGGTATTGAAAAGTTTGTTGTTATCTCAGTTGTTCCATAATTGCTGCCATTTGTCTTTAATGATCCTGTTTATGCAGAGTCTGAAGTCAGTGTGAGGCACCATTACTTTAGAGGGAGCCATGTTCAGAGATTCCTTGGCAATTTTGTCCACTTTTCCATTTCCTTGTATGCCAATATGGCTCGGTATCCAGCATAAAACTATTACTGTATCTTTTTCCTTATAAATGGAGTCAAACCTATTTAATAAATTATTAATTAAGGGGTTTTTCATGTTTTTATTCTTCAAAGCTGTGAGAACAGATTAATCTGAAAAGATGATGAATCTATCTGACTCACTAGATTTTATAATATCTAAAGCTAGATGCATGGCTTTGGCTTCTGCACTGAAGATTGAGGCATTGTCAGGCAATCTTTTCTGCATTATTACGTTGTCAAGTATAGCAGAACACCCAACTCTGTCCAACATTTTAGAACCATCTGTGTATATAGGCTTATGGTTTGGGTGAACTTGTAGAACATTATGAATTTCTTCCATATAATTGGATAAGTTAGAATTAATTTTAGAATATTTGATAAGGTTTAACAAAACTGTAGGGTACTTCATTAACCAGGAGGATTTTTAAGTTGGTGGATTTAAGTATAATAGTTGGATTTAATTGTGTTTCGTTGGCTATCTTACCACAATTTTGTCTTTAGAAAAAAAACAGCACCTTGATTATATATATATATATATATATATATATATATATATATATATATATATATGAATAAAATGGTTGTTACATGTACTTACACACACATATATGTATATATATATATATATATATATATTTATTCCAGCTATGGGTAAATAGCAGGACAGACTGGGTTCTATAGCCTTGATGGCAACTGGTCTAGGTGAAGGACAACTCTGAATTCAAAGCCTGCGGAGAGTTGTTTGGGGACATTGTGGCACCAGTTTTCTGTATTTGGCCCTTCAAAAAATGTGGTTGGTTCTGCAAAAACCTTCACCACTATAATCAAATCATATGTGCTGGTGTCTGGGCTTTAAGTTTCTAAGAACTAAGCTGCTTGGTTCTCATACATCAATATGATGGGTGAGGCCACTATATATATATATATATATATATATATATATATATATATATATATATATATATATATGCAAATATGAATTTTGGTATATTTAGGTAGCAAGTATTCATTCAAACAAATTTTATTAAAACGACCCAAAAAGGCCTGTCTTTTCAATTTTTGAATAAGCTCATATTAAATAAAATATCATTTACCACAGAAGACAGTATCTTGAAATGCATATGATATACTTAATATTTGCATATATTATATGAATATAAGAAAAAAATATACAAATAAATAAAAAAAGTTATAAATAATAAAAAATAAATAAATCACATTCTTTTTGTACAGCCTCATTACCAATAACCATTACACATGACAACAGCATAAACTATTTCAAACTTTCAGCTTTCCAGACACCACATTGGTTTTTGAAAATGACTGCAATGGTCAAAAGTGCTTTAACAAATCAGTAACAAAATATGAACTTCATACAGTTTATCCACAACTTTAGATCACAATACTCAACACCTTATTCGAAAATTCTTTTGCTCAAAAATTGGTTTCGATGTTTTTTGTTCTATTTTGTATTTTATTTGAATCTGTTTCAAAAAGATTGATTGATAAATATCTGTTGAAAACAATTTGAAATGAAATTATTCAGTTGGCTTAATTTGCTTTCCTTTTCATTTTTATATAAAATTTAAGCAGATTCAAAATTTTACATAGTAAATTAAAAATTAATAACAAATTTTTACATTACTCTTTGATAGAGTTGTATAATAGGCAATGCATAAAGTAATAATCATATTTTTCAATATTTTTTTCTCTAGATTATTATAGATTAAACACTCCAAATCACAAATATATATAAAAAAAACTTTTATTAATAGTGAGATTCAAATGTAAATTCATTGTCAATTGATTCCATATGTCAGTCAAAATATATATGTTCATACAAAATTTCTTAGAACATATATATATATATATATATATATATATATATATATATATAAAAGATTTTAATTTGAAATTCATATTTGCCATTCTTTTTTCATGTTTTACTATCAATTATGTAATTCAGATTGTGAATTTATTTTTTCACATATTAAGAAAATACATCATATGAGCTTATTCATTTTCACTTGCACAAGGGACTCAATTTACAATAAATTTACATAGCAAACTGGATCTCCCTATTAAATTTTTATACAATTTAAGGATTTTTTTTTTTTAATAGATATTCATGATCTGGAGTGCTTAATCTATAATGATATAAAAAAGATTTTTTTTTTAAATCGATTATTTCTGGTCACAGTGCCATCTGTTCATTTTTTTTTTTTTTTTTACAGAAAAGTGTTTTTCAGTATCAAACAATCATAATATCAATACTGAAGATAAACATTATGCTTGTGTTGAAACTTGTTTGTCTTATTTTATTTTTATATAAATTTAATATTAACAAAATTATTGTTAAAAATTGCCCCACCCCCACAAAAAAAATAACTAACAAAAGAAGTTATTTTCTGTTCTGTATGATTTGTGTTCACTTTCACATGGATCTGCTAAACTTCCTGTTTCCCTGTTAATTTTCTATGTGAACAAAGTAATTAAGGACACTGAGTCATTAGCCAATTTTTACAAATGACTTCAAAGAAAAAAAAATCTGTTCCAAATCATTTGTCTGTACTCAGGTGACATAGGTCAGGCAGGTGTCAGTACTGAATATAGCAACACAATTAAATACTGTTTCCTGCTATCAAAATGCATTTTTTTTTATGTTGTTGTTTAAAGAATTCTTGAGAAATGGTCCTCTATCTTTGATACAAAACTTGGGATTCTTTAGGATTTAATGCATAAATCTAAGAAAATATCTAGCAATATTAGTTTCAATAAAGGCATTAATTCTAATGAGTAACTTCAGAAATAAGCATTCAACCATTTTCAGACCAAAAGTCTATAACAATGCAGTAGTGAAAACAGGTGGAAGGTAATTGCTGGTTGAAAATGAAATATGATAAATTGATTGTGTTAGTCAGCTTCCTATATTTCACAAATCCTCAAGTAAGTTCTAAGTATCTGTTACAGAGGTACCAATGTTTAGTTTAGTAATCCCTGGAGACTAACAGAACAAAATACCCACTTTTATGACATATTTCTGTATATAATCATACATCAATGTCTAAGAATTTAGTTTTAAGGATTTAAAAAAAAACAAATAAATGTTGGTTAGACTTACTTAGATATCAAATCCCGGAGGTTAGACATTTCTTCGTCTTCAGGAGTTGGTGAAGTCAACTGAAATTAGAAAATTAAAACATTAGAAAAAAAATAAAGTTGAATGCTGAAAGAAGAAAAGTCAATTAATAAAATCAGACACATAAATTTAATTAGCTCTAAATGAATCTGTTGTGAATTTGAATCAACGAACAACAAAGATAAAGGTCTTTAAATATAAAATATTTTTATTTTTGTGTTTTTACAACTAATTTATATCTTAGTGTGTATAAGTGTTAAAGTTCTTACAGTAATTGTTTGTTAAGATGAAAAGAAATGTGGTATCTTCACATGTATGTGTGAGAAAAAAAAAGGAGAAAGTGATGAGGAAAGTAAGTGTCATATAGCTTGGTGAGGAAGACAGGTGAAGGATTAAGGAAATTTCTTGTAAGCCAATATGTTTATGCACTATGAAAATGTTGCCATTCTTTCCTGCCTCATCTGGTCTGGAAACTTTGCTTATATACCCTTCAAAGGGATCACTAAGCATGTTTTTTATTGTTGGTAGGAACATGACCTGTTAGTTGAAAAATGTTAAATACTTATTTTCAGAGCATGAATTTATTAACGGGAATAATGCACAAATCCTCCAACTGAGAAACACTTCTGTCATTTGGTGTTTGATTGCCTTGGTGTTTATGTCCATCTTTATTCCACAAATCTATCAAAATTTAACCATGGCTAAGTATAACATAACACAATACAGACATATTTTCAACAGTCTGATGCAAAAGATTCTGTCATTGTTTTTGGCAAAGTATTTTATTTTATAGTGGATGGGAAAAGCAAGAATCCAGCTCTGAATTTCAAACCATGGAGAAGGCAACAGGAAATCACTTCACTATTTTTCCCAAGAAGGCATGGTAATTTGCACAGAACAAAAAAGAAAATCTGTAGAGAACTATAACTGCCTACATCATGAAAGGACATAGAATTTATTATTATTTTATTTCATAACATCATTTTGTTGTCAAAAGTATTTTCCTAAGCTTTTTATGACTTTGTCATTTTTCAAATACATTGAGTATTCAATCATAAAACTCTTTATTTAATGAATTCTTTGAGGAACTTTTCAGTATCTTCAACTTGTTGGAACCACAGACCACACAATTTTGTCTCATAAAGTGAAACAAGGAATAGTCTGAAAGTGGGTGATAGCACTTCCCATACTAGCTCTATGATCAATTAATTCATCACATCTGCAACAGAAGGACAAGTATTGATTGTGATACACCAGTGTAGTAACCTAGGGAAGGTTACTGAATAGAATAATCACATGAAGACTGATAATGAACGATAATACTTAGGACATGAACAACACATAAAAGATTTGCCAGTGGTGCATAGAAGAAGTAGTCAACTGCTAGAAGTCAGTCAAGTAAATTCCACACTGAATCTACAACTGCAGACCCACACATACAGTATTCACTACTTTATTTATGGGAATGTACCCATTATCGCCTGTAGGTATGCTACCAGTACCAGAAACACTGACCAACTTCTTTCTATAACAAAAGGTCTTGCCTCTTTCAATGCAATATTCAAACCAGCCAATTGCTCACTGTAATGTTATGTAGTAACAGTTTGTCCAGACCCCATCTATATGTACTTTTTGTTCCCAATAAAGAGCTTGAAGGCTATTCTAGAGAATGAAAGAATGTCCAAAATTCAGATAATGTCTTAATTAAAACATTTGTATAAACACACAAGTAATATGTCAATTGTGTTAAGACATATTTTAAACAAATTAAAAAAAGAGATAATACAAGTACTGAAAATAAGAAATACCAAAATAACTTGCTGAACTAGGACAATTAATCCTCTAAAAAGTAACTCTAATTTCTATAATCAATTCAAATGAGGATGACCGGAATTGTTTAATAAGAAATAACAAATATCATTTAAATGTATTTACAGTTATTTGTCCCCCCATTTTAAAACATTCTCTAAACAGCATACTTGTACGTAATCAATTATTTGATTAACATCCAAGAGGGTATATCTGATCTTATTAATAACTAGCAGTAGAGCCCGGCGTTGCCTGGGGATGTAACAGTAAGAGATAGATCAAGTATCGACCATCATAAAGACTGAAAAATAAAATTGACAAAGATTATTGTTTAAGGTTGACGGACACGCATGTCTTAATTAGTTTTTTTTTTTTTTTACAAATTGGTCAAACTCAAAGAAAAACATTGTTTTCAATCGTTATGAGTTTACCAATTGAATAGAATTTTATTATAAACAATTGTCTTGTAAATGGAATTTTTAAAAGCATTCTGACTGTAAAAATAAAGAAAAAAGTGTGCAAGACAATAAGAAACACTACCTGCCAAAAAAAAAAAAGTGAAGTTTTGTTGAAATCGGTTGAAAAATGTAGGAAATCTGATCCCATATATAAAGGAACACACACACAAACAACCTGGGTTTTATAATAAGTATAACTCGATATGAGTTGTCTCCCTTTCATTCTCGTGATGCCTCTTAATCATGTTTTCAAATTGATTTCATGAAAAAACAATTGTGTTTTTCCAATTTTTGGCACTGTTAGAACCACCGCAAGGTAATTTTACATAGTCCTGTGAAATTCGATCCAATATATAAACGTACAGATACACACACACACACACAATCTGCGTTTTATAATAAGTAAGATAACAATTTTTATTGACTGTCATGTTTATAAATAAACATTAATATATTAATGCTTCAGGTCTGATAATCAAATAATAATTATCTAATGTTTTTCCATCACATTGACTGAATCCATCATAAAATTTCTACTAAACACTTCAAATACTTTGGTATATGTAGCATCTATAACAAATTTAGTATAGGAAATAAAGAAATTGAACAGTGAATAGGCTGCACTCAAGATAGTTTCACTTGACAAATTGTTACAAAATCAAAATATTAACCTAAAAATTAGAATCGGGTTCTTAAATAAGTTCATCAAATCAAGACTTTCATATGAAAGTCATTCATGATGCTAAACTCATTCAGAAATATCTAAAATGTCAGCCTATAAAACCACTTTCTCAGATCAATTATTAAAAATGCTTTGAGTGAATAAAATCTGTAGATCTTTGTGAAGACCATCCTTTGAACCTTGTGAACTGGTACTACAAAATCATAAAGAACTGTGCCAAATAATAAAAACCACATCACTGCAGCAACAACTAAAATGAATAGCACATGTAACACAAAGAGAAGATGCTGACAAAATCAAGAGTTTGATGTTTCACATTACTTTAAACAAAAGTTTAGGAAGGAAACTCCCATCAGTAGTGGAAAGTGCTACTGGACTTGAGAAACCTGTTTTCCTGAAAAGTTGTTTGAAGAGAATGATTTTATAAATTTCAAGTAAAAGTAGCACTGGCTGCTCGGTCAATGAAATGTCAAATGTTTTCTTATAAAGAAATGGTTAATACTGCCATTATCAAACAAATATTTCTATGATATTAAGCAATTAATCATAAATTTTAGTATTAAAAAAGATGGTGATTTTGGAGATGATGGTCTGACATAAATGAAAACTTCAACCAAAAGAGGGAAAAATGAAAAACAAAAATAACCAACTGCTCTTTTTGGTGGGGGAGTATATCAGTAAATCAGAAGGGTGAACTGGTCCATATTTGACCCTACTAAATTAGTGTCCAGTTGTTGAAGTTGATTACTATTTTTTTAATTTTTTTTATTTTTTGACTAAGCAGAAAAAAGGGCAAAGAACTAAGAAAAAAGAGAAAGAGAAAAAAAAGCTATTTTTGGATCCCAAGTACAGAGAAAAGTTCTTCCACTTTGCCAAAGGAGAGCAGAACTCATTCTCACCCCCACTTATCAGCTTTTAACACACATCAGCAAGGGAGGAAGTAGAGGTTGACAACCCATCATCCAGTTCTCCTTTCACACCCACACATTTTTTACAAACATCCAACCACATCCACTCCTCATCACCAATAACATCATCAAACAACACCTTTTTCCCCTTCCTCCTTACAGCTAGCTATATTTACTTACTCCATGACAGTATATGATCAACAACTCGGTCAACTGCGCCTAGGAGATCCAAAGACATTTTAGATAAGTCAGGAATCTAGTCAGTTCTATTTACCACTGTTGAATGTAGGTACCAGTATTTGTTTGGAGAGAACTTGATAGACAGAAGACATAGCAGATTATTTATTGTAATACTAATCTAAGTAAGGATATTCTATGAGTTATAATTTAATCAAAGTAATTCATAGTAAAAGAAAATATTATGCAAAATAGGAAATGTAAATTAGCATAGATGTTGCTATATTGTGCAATTGTGTAAAGTAAAAAAACAAAACAGAATACTTATAAATAAGCAACTGTCAGCATGTATTTAAATATAGTGAGATCAGGTCATTTGCAAGCAGAAAGGATCAGAAAATTATTATACACAAGATTATTGATAAACATCTTATCTGAGCAAAAAGAAAATTGCTTATCCAATGGAACTAACACACACACACATATATATATATATAAGGAAAAACTCAATACATCATTAAAGACTTCTGTAATAATATATTTCAGACAGACAACTGCCTCATGAAACCAGAGTTATAAAATGATTTAAATCATCCAAACAATTTAATAAAAATTACATGAGGAAATGAATAAAAGATCTGACCTAGAAAAATCAGTCATAAAATATATATATATATATATGAATCTACATATTATCCCACATCAATATATATAATTTCTGAGCACATCCATCTCCTCGCATGGAGAGCCAATCCCTGTTGCAGACACCAGCTCAGGTACATTTATGTTTGTCCACCACCCACAGAACCTACCTGTGGCTTATACTGTAACTATGCTGAGCAGATCTTAGTTACACTTTGAGAAAGTGCACATTATCTAACGTAGCCAAAATTTTTTGAACAAAGGCCAATATGAACAACCAAATGACTTGTGACTTCATACTAACACAACCATCAACTGCTTCAAAATTTTCATCT